AGAGAATGTGACCAAAATCTCAACTCTGATTGGTATCGTTTCCTGGACATTCCAGGAATAACAATGCCGACTGAGTGTCCACACGATAACACGTGCGGTACGACATATCCAGGCTGGTTGAATGGAGATCATCCTACAGTGGATGAGGGGGAAGTAAAAGGGACCGTCTGCTTTTCCAAGGGCTCAAACCGGTGCTGTGAGGAAACAAGTTTCATTAGGGTGAAGAACTGCAGTTCCTTTTACGTCTACTACTTGGTACCGACCAAATGCCCCTATCGTTACTGTTTCACATATAACTGAACATCATAAAACTGTTGAATGTTGAAGATGAAGCTTAATTTGTTGCGGGTATTTAAAGATTTTGTAGTGTTTGATATCTATGAGGTCATCTAGGAGCAATAAAAACTTACCAACATTTGTTTCTAGTGAGCTTGAAGTCCGAAGACTTGCTAAAGTAATAATTATGTGGTATTCAGCGTGGATGTTACCAGAATGCTGTTTAAAGTGATATTTAAAAATGTTGAGGTGGAGGCCAACTCGATATAAGCACAGCTAAAAGCGGGAACCAAATCTTACATAACATAGCATGCAGACAAAACTCGTGCACGGAAAAAGGGTTTAATTACAACTGTTTCGGGTTTACCACTGAGGTAAATGTGTTTTAACCGAAAATTATGAATAAATGACATGGCAAAAACGACCAAGAAATATTTCGAGTCCAAAACTTTGTTTATCTAAGGCTACTGTCCAAAAATAGGGTGCCAAATGAGGTCGTCCTGCGCGCGCTGCTTTTTAAAGATATTCCTAAAGGTTCCTGAGAAAATCTATTTCAAAGTGGGACAATAGAAATAATTTCGGTTGTTGTCACGCGCCGACACATTATAGAAGAAATATTGCAAATTTCGTTAAAGTTTGAAAATCCAACATATTTTATCAATTTATTTAAGCAGAGCGAGGTAACTCGCGTGAAATATACCTCGAGTTTTTAGGCTCCAAAGAAATTTAGAGTTTTCACACCTCATTCAAGCGCGTGTCGACGCGGTCATGCCGCCGACCAATGAAATACAAAATCGAAGCCTCTTGCACACAAATTAAATGAAATCCGAAATTGATCGGTAAAAACAGAAGGAAAAGTGGGAAAAGGGTTAGGGTTAAGGAAAAAGAAAACTTAACTTCGATTTCATTGGCTTATAATAATTTTAGATATAATTTTCATAACTCGTGAAAATGCGAGATTAAGATTGTGAATTTTTAGCTTTTCGCAATACCTGATTTTTCATGATGCGTTGTAAGGAAGAGTTAAATCAGTAACATCCTAACCTGTTCCCTGCCATCCAAGGTATACTTTATTACTAACTTACCGTCACATAAGGGAAAAGAGAAAGCCTTTAGGAGAAAAGCCGGGTCTTCTTTTCAACAACGTTCAATGTGCAGCACCGGCTCGAAAGAACACTCTTCTCGTGTAAAGATTTTTTTCGGTAGTTATATCGTAACATCAATTGCATAAGTATTGGGGACAAGTGTGGGCAATTATAGTAATGAATAGCCGGGTGAAAAGATGGTTGCCAGCGACAATATTACATCCCCTCCTGGACGAGATGCTGTCAGGCTTTCCTGACAGCTTTTTGGATCGAATTTGTCAGAGAAGAGAGACAGTCCTTTTGTGGTGTACATTATATTTGTAAGAGAGAGTCGTGGGGCAGATCATAGATAGCTAAGGGAAAGATATGATTACTCTCACAACTTATTATCTCATCTATTTTTCTCTCTTGAATAGCATTAGCAGTCTTGATATTTGTTTTGTGCGCATCAACATCAACATTGAATATTCCATTTAGAAAATGAAATATCTCCTTTATTTTCCAGTATTACAGTTCTGCAACACCCACAAAGAGCTTCAAGGCCAGCTTATTACAATGAAAATTTAAAAGCAATATTATGGTGCGAATAGATCTTGATCAGTGGGAGTCTACTCGTATTTCCATGAAATAGGTAATTTCTATTTCAAGCTTTAAAACGCTCTGCTTGAATTCCTACACAAATGCGTACGCTTCTATAGTGACCTTGAACTTTTTTAACGTATATAATAATAAAAGCAGAACATTCGTTTCGAATCACATTTTATGAATTTTATAAATATAGTCATGTTTCTGATAAAAGAAGGAACTTATGGAATTAAGGTTTTGGGACCTGATCATTATCAGCCGAAGTTTGCATAATATTTACAGGCTGTTTACTTTACAGCCGAAGAAATGAAGCTAAGTTATATCATCAGCAGATGATGTACAGATTCCCTTCCCCTTTGGAAAATTTACATCAAATAATTAAAATAATTCAGTGACGCCCTTTTTTCCAAATTTGAATCAGATTTTCTTTGAAATTTGAACTGTTAGTTTGTACTTATGCATAAAAAAACGTATCATTTAACTTGAGTTCAGGTTGATGAATTTAAAATTTGCATCTTACGATTGCTTAATTGAATAATTTATGACTGCCTGTAATATATTTTTCAAGTCTCCTCAATGTGCCAGCTTTAAGACTTTAAAACATATTTTGAAGTGGGAAAACTAGGAAATTTAAGACCATTTAAAGCGCATATCTTAGATTATGTGAATTTTGTCTTTTCACAAATTTAAAACGAATTTTGCCGAATGACGAATTGTCTGATAGAGACGGGTTATTTTGTTTTCTGCATGTACCTCAAAGATTAACAAATGATGTATCCTTTTACTTAATTCGTCGTTATGAGTGGTGAATCAGTCCATCAACCTATAAACTCGACAATAACTTTCTCTTTTATAATAATAATCTTGCAAAAGAGATGTTTGGTGTATTTTTCAATCAGTGGGCTCCTTAGGGTTCTTTTCACCTGGATCATACTGAATGACGCTTTAATCTATAATACTCAAATTCTGAGCCAATCATAGCCCTCACAAGGAACAAAATCGCATAAAAAATGCATGTTCTCGTACTTTCGTAATATCAAAAGCGGCTAAAAGAACCTCAGAAGCTTTTCGGAAGTCACCAGCTATGTCTGAACGGAATTACTCAAGTTAGTTTTCAACATGGTGTTTTCGAACAGATTTTATTTCTTCCTAGTCTTGTTATCTTTCTTGATAGTAGAAGATACGGAAGGAGAAAGTGAGTTAGTATCTAATGTGCACCTTAAGTTTTATTTTCTTGATTGTCTCTTCATTCCTTAGATGAAGTGTTTATTCTTTAAGAGACTTGAACTTAGCCTACACACCTTTAAGATAATTTTTGAAGAATATGGATTTCACGGAAACAGTCCTTTGACATTTTGACTTATGGTTCAAAATAATAGCAACGCGGCTTCACTCCTTAGTATTGTCAGATAGAAATCACTCTCAAAAGCTATAAGACCAAACAAACACATGGTCAGTAAAACTGCTTCTGGCTAGGGAATTGTACCCTTATTCCCAACAATCTATTTACATTTTGGTCTTCCTCTCATCTGGATATTTTGGATGGATTATCTTCATCATGCCAACATGGACCCCAGAGAATTCATAATTCACACTGCTATTTCGGTTATCCCTCTAAGGGATATTACAAAAGGTTGTAGTACAGAGTTAGTAGGGGACTCATCTTTTGAAAAAGCCATGAAGTAACATCCATAAAACTGAAGGTAATCAAAGAGCACACTCTTCACTCAGGGCTTACAGGAAGGAAATACTAATTCTAGCATGCAGCTTTCTATAAACTTGACCATTCCTCGACTGTCTAAGAGATAATGACAGGTAAAAGCCACCTAAAAATGCTGTGAATTCCAAATTGAACCTTGTAAAAGAGTTATAATACTAATAAAGGTTTTTATTAAGAATTCATTGCGCAAACAGACGTGCAACAATTTACATGAAGAAATAATGATTAATTACAATTAAAAAGACATCTATTGATAAACACTGATTTAAAACGACTTGTCTGGACATTAGGTAGAATATAATTATGCGACCTACTTCTCAACTGCCGTGTCCTCTGGGGAGGTAAAAGATCCCTCAAGGCAGTGTTCGTGGAAGAGATCCTTCGCCATAATTTCATATCTCTATCATGACGAATATCCAAGATACTATGCTGCTTTAAGCAGTAACCTAACTTATAACACCTGGCAGAGAGCTTATCAATAGTACTTAAATATTTACTATAAAAAGCACACCCCCAGACCTCAATAGCATATGTAAAAACAGAAAGGATCAAACTTTGAAAAAGTAAGTCCAAATTCTCCTTAGAGTATCCATAATATTTACATATTCTTAAAATGTACAACCTACTGCTAGCCTTACTCAGTAAATAATCAATATGAGTATCCCAATTAACTGGCACTTGCTCAAAGGTAACACCCAATAATTTCAGCTTATCTTTCCTCCCTATAATCTCAAGTGGTTCAGGAGGTGTCTTGGTAGTTCTACCTCGTAAAAGAAGTTCCCATGTTTTCGTCAGATTGACTTTCATGCGGTTCTTCTGAGACCATTGAATGAAGGATAAGACCTCCGTTTGAGATTCATCCAAGCCTACATTTGCCTCAGTCGGCAAACTAACAGTTATGTCATCAGCAAATTTAACTAGAAGATTCTTATCAGTGTTAACAGCTTTAATATCGTTAATAAAAATAGAAAATAGGACCGGCCCCAGGACTGTACCTTGGGGAACGCCCCTATTTATAGAAACATGTTCAGTACTGTATAGTTGTCTCTAGTTGTATAGCCAATACTGAATTATTGATCGGTTATCAGTGAAACCTTAAAAGTGGACCTAATTTAATGCATTAGAAATGTTTCCTTTCTCGAAATAATTTTCGTTTTCATTTATTACGACCTCCTCCTAAAGACAGACTACTGCACAAGTTTTTTGCCCAAATCTTAATTTCCCTTGAAAAAGAAAATTGCTTCTTTCCCCGTCAAGATATGAAGTTGTGAGCTATAAACTCACGTAAACTCAAATGGTGCTGATCGTATTATCTTCAATTTTTCATAGACCTATGTCGTAAACTGGAATTTACATCATCTCCTGCTTTCCATGGTAAACGGCTCAAAAATCACATTATAAGAACCGTAGAATCCCTTGTGCAAGACTCCTGCTCCACTCTATGCTACATGGAACCCAACTGCGTCAGCTACAACGAGGTAGTGGTTAGCAGCCCTCCGTCAATCACTAAATGTGAACTGAATAATTCCACGCACAATGAACATCCCCAAGATCTCAAGCCCTGGCCAAACTACAGCTATGGAGGAACAATGGTCAGTGCATTCTTAAGCAAGTGACGCTTTCCTTTCTTTAGTTTCCCTTTGTACTGTTAATTAATAAATTCTCCAACGGCTCTCCGTTGAACTCTTCAACGGCTCTCCGTCCGTCACTTAGTGCGAGCTGAATAATACCACACACAGTAAACATCGTCAAGACCTCAGGCTCTCAGTGAACTACAGAGGAACAATGGTCAGTGCATTCTTAACCGATTTAGCCTTTTTGATATAATTTTTTAACAGTATATTTCCACTTTTCAAGTTATTCACATGGTTGTTCATTGGCTGACCATTTTCCTGTAATCATCATAGATTACATTTCAACTATAATTTTAAATTATCGTAACCATTTGCTCCTCTCATTTGCATATTTTTGCGCTCAACCTCTCTTACCACACTTGTTAGAACACTTGTGGACAAACTCCTTGTCAACACGATGGGACTTGTCAGACTGGATTTACAGACAAAGGGTATAGATGTGTTTGCCCAAAAGGATACGAAGGCAGCAATTGTGAGATAATTAATGGTACGTAAAAACGCTTTTACTCCATGAAAAACTTTAAATGAAAACAAATTTTGTTTATCTATTGATTATTCAAGCCCCCTCCAAAAGACCCTTTTTATCCCTCTCTGTCTCTCTGCACTGTTAGTCTGTTTGTCTCCCTTTTATTCCCGGCAGCAGGAGTCTAGTCATCTAACTTGTCATCCCATTCGTATTTTTTTGTGTTGAAAATCAAGAATTCCATCACAAATCTACTGATATTTTTTTCCAGCCATGGGATGGATACAGATGACGCCGTCCACAGTTTGCTTCGGAGCTAAAGATGATACGTATGGTATCTTTAGAACAGCCATTTCAGGTAACATCACTACATTCAAATTAACATACCAACATGGTCATGTCATGAAGCGGACCCAAGCTATCAGTCCAAGTGGGGTTGCCTTTGGCCTCCTCTCATTCCTAACTCAATGGCCACTTTGATAACTGACAAAAACCGTAATCTTCTTCAGCCTACTAAGGATTACCGATCAAATTTTTTGGGATGTACGTTTTACAGCTTTCCTTGGGCCACAACCGAATCGCCAGAACTGCTCTTCTATAGTTTTTCTTCACCGCTGATGGTGGAGTCGAACCAAGAATTCCAAATCTGGTACAGTGAAGACTTATTCAGATGGGGCGATTCTAATAACGGATTGACACGAACATGTGTTGCGGTGTATGGTCTGTATGTTTGAGTAGCGGTGATCGCGTTGCCCAACGTTGTTTCGGAACTTTTGCAAAACTTCATATATATTTCATAGGAAGTAGGAAAATATTCTATTGAGAAAGAAACGAATTCCAGCTCATTTAAACTAAAAACAATAATCAATTCATCAACTGAAGGCAATCAAAGAGCTCCCTCCTTCCAAAGAAATTTCTGAGGGTTAACTCAATTTTGCTCTTCTATAAACTGAACCATTACCCGACTGCTTGAGCGATAGTAACAAATAAAAGCCACCTCAAAATGCTGTGATTCAAATGCTGGTCTAAAGGTCTAAATTCTAGCACCTCCAGGGCATTGTGTTTTGTTATCAGGGGAGAAAAAATTCTCAACGGATCTGTCAATCTTTACCAAGTATGAATGAGCAAACTGCCAGTAAATTCTGTTTGTGAGTAACCCCGAGAGGAACTGGTATCTCATGCAGGAAAATTAGAAATACTCCTAAAAACGGGATGAAATTTAGCAGGGTGGGTAACACGCCAATCAGTAAGGTTAATCAACATTTCACCTTGTGTACGAGGCAAACAGAGACCAAACGCAACTGGGATTCTGAAAGGGAAGGATCAAAATTCCCTAATTATTGGGTTTTTTTGCACCACTATATATTTCGAACGGCAACTTTTTCCTGAGTTAATTGCATTCACAGTTCATTGGGGAGGGAGGCCTTTGATTAAACCTTCGGAATGGTTACGTCACTAAAACTATTAACTCAACAAAAATTATCTTGAAAGGAAGTCTGTTAAACCAACAGGTCCAAACGATAGTGACGGAAAATTTTGTTAATGAAAATTGTACGACAACGACGGGCAATGCCTTTTCTTTAGGAAGGGTTCCGGTGCGAACTTGTGGAAGACAAATGCTTCCGTTTCCTTTAAAGATTAAAAATAACTTCAGCGGAATATCTCAACCCATGCCCTGATTGTAACTGCCTCCTCCTCTCTCTGTCTTGATTAGGGCGAATGTTGACTGTAGTATGTTCTGTTATTTTTTTCTATGGGTTAAATGCGTAGATATTAAGCAAATATTGGATGAGGTTTAACATGATATCATGAATCATCAGAAGTGAAGTCTGAGTGATCTGCTGAAGCCTAATGCTGAGGTAGATAACACAGACGTGAAGCTTGATACCTCATGATATTATACGAAAACCGAACTCAACAATTGTTTTATTACTCATGTGCTTAAGTAAACAGCAAAAGAAAACACTTCTTTCTGAGTATGCAGAAGGATGTTAACACAGCGCGGACGGAGGATTGGGTAACTAGGCAGTCTTTGAACGCGACATGATAAATGAAATATCTGCTGCAAATGTTTGCTGCAGATATCTGATCGAATGCTCCCGACCGATCAGATTTTTCATTGTAAGTCTAATGTATAACAAATGTAGTTAAACACCAGAGAACTCTTCTCCTGTTGATATCGATGTTACTCTCCATGGATTACGGATGAAAGGAAAAGAGAGGTTGTCCTTAAAAATGGAAAAGCTCAGCAACATCATGGATGGAGAAGACCGGAAATATATTTCCAAGGCTTTCTCATGTATCTTGAAAGAAAAATTGAAACATGGAAATAAATCGCTATGGCAAACAAATCTCTAAGCAAAAAAAAAATATTGCGCAAACTTAGATTAAGTTTAAAATAAAAAAGTTTCCAAACGCTTGATATCGCTAAGTACCTTACGTAGTGTCTACAAGACATAAATTTTATTTAAATGACATCTTAGATCTCGCTTGCTATGGCTATTTTATTCACCTGGTTAGTCTTATCATTATTACTATTATAAACACTATAATTGCTACTTTCAATACATTTTAATTAGCGTTGCTATTATTCTAATAAAAATAACTATTTCGTTATGAGAACATGTAAAGTGTGTTCATTAGCAATGTAGTTTGCACACGCGATAGAAAGCTGCCGGTGTGTGCACGTAGACTGCTTGTACGTGCATGTTAGGTATCTGTGTAAGCAATGTGAACTAGATTGGTTTACTAAGTTATGCTTATTAAGTAATTTATGTTAGCCTCGTAACTTATGTAGTTTGTAAGTACTGCTTAAGTAACTGTGCTATTGTGCCACTGATAGGTTTCTCTTTGGGAAAATTTTTGGTAAATTTTATTAGCTAAAGAATCTCTACAGACATTGATAACGTTCAATTTAGAAAGCAGAGTGTCTTCCAATTCGGGAGTGATAAATCTTTTATTTTTTTAAAGAATGTTGGTTCTTTTTCCACAATGGAAATTTTACTTTTGAAGTTGTGCGACTGTAAGTATTTATTTTTATCAAAAATTGGATAAAATCAGTTCACCTCTGCTTAAACTTAGGAGGAAAACGTTTCTATCACAATTTCATTGCTCAAAAATTTCATTTAAGTTATGTACGTGTGTTTGCCAAACTTTGCGACGAACAAATTATTCTTTTAACTGGTACGCAGTAAATAAAGAAGCTACCTTCCCATGGAAAGTTCCTCATCATTATGAAGTATACGAAGAGTCCCACTCAAAATGTAGTTGTGGTATCCAGGAAGTCAAATTATCATTGCTCGTCTCGGAATAGAGACATCATGCAAAGGTGGTCGTCATTTCTCTGCGAATTAAGGGAGTTTCACTGGTGTAAGAACATCTGCTTCCAAAATAGATTAGATATGTCTAAACAGATTTTAGAATATTATCATTACTCCTTGATAGATGTCAGGGTCTCAAGGAATAGTTGTGTTGATATCATTTTTTTCTTCTTTCTCACAGGTTGAGCACTTTTCCTCTCATTAAAAAGGCCTCTTGTCTTTCATAATTGCTGCTGATAATAACTAAAAAAAACTGCCTCTCTCTATAAGAAACTCAATCCACTGCATAACCTACGACTCGTATTAACTATTTCCAATCATGCAAAATAAAAGCCTGGTGCTTTTAATTTCGAGGGCTACACAGAAACAAGCAATTATTCATGGAAAACATGTCTACCATTTTCTGTTTTTGCAGTGACTGTTTTTTAAAAGTGTTGTTCTTCCCGAAAGGTGAGCATGTTCCTTTTATGTTAAATCTATCAAAAGTTAAAGGCTTCAGTCACTCTTATTTGACAGGTTACCAAAAAATAAGATTCGACAATCCTTCGAGAATGCCGCAATACATCGGTGACTTGTTCTGACTTATCAATAGCGAAAATGGCCTGAAATCATCAGAGGGGTGCATGTTTTTTCTTGGTTTCACTCAAATCACTTCGAATAAACCACCATTACCGTATGTCTTTTGTAGAAGAGACATTATATAGGCCCATTGTATCTTCGTGTTTGCTTTAGTATGTCTAGAAGACATAAAAACTCGTTTCTTCCTTATAATGCTAGTATGAGAAACAGCCCTTCGCCCACTTGTGAAAAGGAAAAACTGTTCTTTGGCGGCTAGCACCTGACGTTCAGCCTCCAATCCCTGAGAAGTGATCGCCTCGGATACTTCGTTTTTAACTTGATCCAGCCCGTTTAGAACCTCCAGTCAATCCTCGCTGATTTCTTCTTGTATTTCGTTCCCTTCTACACTGTCTGGAACGAGTGCTGACTCTAGTTCGTCTGCATCGCGAACCAATGATACTTCTTAAGTTAATGCGTGGTTCTTGAGAGACGTCTTCAGTAGCATTTGTCAACCCACATACAACACCAGTACGTAAATCATCTTGACAAGAATTACAAGAACTTTTTCCCTAGCGGTCTCATAGCCAGCGGAGGATCACCAGTAATCGGCTTTTATTGGAACTCCTGCCTCAATACAAGGTCTATTTTTTTTTAAAGTAGGTGTACATTATCAGGTACAAAACAGACGTTTTAACTCTTTCGTTCCCAAGAGTGGCCAAAGGATTTCCCCTCACAATACCAACCTAGTTCCTTTGGGTATATAATTTTCCATCTAAAAGGATAAAGAGAAAGTTTTAGCTTCACATTCCTCAGAGACTTCCACCAAATAGTACTCGGTGGTCTTCCCAGGCAACTGAAACTTGGACGATAAAGGAATGGATCGGTGGTATGACGTCTTCATACCCATGAAAACATACAGCATCTGAGAAAAAAAAATCCTCCAGATCCTGGTTGCTTTAAAAAAGGATAATGCCGTCCAAATACTGAAACGTGATAGGATAACGATTTATGTGTTGGACATTGCTACAAACTTTGAAAAAACAGAAGCTTGATGTGCATCAAACTCTCGTGACCAATATTACAAAAATAATAATGCAAAGGATTTAGGAGAAATGCTATTATGATAAAGCGGTACAAAAAATCAGCATACAGCTGTAGATGCCATGACACAAATGACACTTCTAACAACACTTTTCAAAGCTTTCCCTTTTTTAATCCATCTTGTATTATTGACACAACATGCAAAGGCAGTCATTCGTTGCCTTGTGGATTTATGGGAATTTTCAGTTTTTTAGGGACACGGCCTGTTTCGAGGAGAGTCTCGGTAAGTTCTGTCTATACAGCCAATTGGAGCTGATGATCAATTCTCAGAAACGTCTAGAGGAGGGAGATTTGATAAATCCTAAACTGCCTTAATCAAAACTAAGGACTTCCAACAGGAACCTGGAATCATCTGTCAATTAAACGTCTACTAAAATAGACTCGTAATTAGAAGATATGTTTATTGCATGAGCAAAGTTGCCGGACGTTTTACATTAATAAAACGACCGTTCAAGAAAGATATTTTATCTTTCTGTAAGAGAAAAAAAGAAAAATACTCTGAATATATTTATTGATCCAATGAATTTTGAATGTGATGAAAAAATATCTAAATGAGCTACAGGCCAGGTGTCTGCTTACCCTGCTGGGGGTAGAATATTTTCACCTGTCATTTATTTGACTTTCCAGAGGATGTGTTTACAGCGTAACTCGCAGTAAAAATTGCGACATCATATATATCTGCTAAAATCAAATGGCATTCCCTCAGTCCTGAATCTTTCTATCGAGCGAAACAAAATCGTCAAAGAGGTTCTAAGTCGCAAAATTTATGATTGTATTCGTTATTTTATTTACCTCAATACCCTTATCAGGCGAGAAATGACAACTGCCAACTTTGTTGACTTTAGCTTCATAAAATGCCACTTTTCATTAAAACAGGTTGAATTAAACCGCCTAATAAAAGACCATTGTCTTGGAGTAAGCATGGACTTTTCTGCGCTTTTCATGATTGTATCCTACATTCCATTTATGACTTACTTAACGTTTGGTAAAGGTGAGTTGCGAACTGGGATTCATATATTCTACGATTCATTTATGGTTGTATCTTCTTTCATTTGTCTATTAAATCGATTTCACTGGTCTAAAGCTGTCGCCGCACTCGGCTTAATAATTAACATGTCGGTAAGATATAGGTTAACGCTTTGTCGTCAACCTAAATCCAAACCCTGTACATGTGTTCACCTTCCATCGATGATTTATCAAAATAGGCATTTCATTTTACGGTATCCCATTCCGAAGAAAATTAAAAATTAGTCACAAGGTAACTCGCAACGGCGATAGCTTCTAGTTATGCTTATGCTCTCCTATCAATAATATTCACCAGGGATACTGGTAAAATATAATTCATCAAAGTTTGGAAGAGGGGAATTTGAAGTTTTTACATCGTAGAGAAGTTGATCTTCACCACCCTTAACCAACATGAGGAATCATTTTAAAAATAAAATAATGCTGGCATATGGAATCAACGATTTACATTTTCATCGTTGTCTATTTGTTTAGAGACATAGCTTCCATGTATCTACCGAAAACTAAAAAAATGGCTTTTTTTTGTTGGCAAAGGAAAGCTCGCGATGCGAAAACGTTTAAGGATTAGGTTTGAAGATAGACTTCAACAATTTCAAAAAATAATGAGTGACCTTAAGTAGAAATGCTCTCATTAAAATTTGCACAGACGTCTCGTGCAGCTTGAAAACTTTCTTCGCTTTCAAAACTCAAGCCTCTCTGTCTGCTGTTCATGAAAAATATTAAGTTGTCTGAGTAATTATCCTTTTTCTTCCCTAATCATTGATGCTCTGATCAAAATTTTTTTCAGCGGTTAATAATAAAACGAACTGACGGTGTTTTTTTAGAGCTGCTAATCTGAGGGAGCTGCAGCTTGACACAAGTGGCAGCTCTCAACCATCAACAAACCATGCCAATCTCCATAGTGAACGCGTGCAGTAGCGTGATGCTAGACAACAATGGGTCATACGTCAACATGAAAAAAACCTGCTAAATTAACTACAGTTGCAGTGACCGCGAAATCGAGAAAGGCAAATAAAAACAAACTTTTAATTATCTCCAGATTATAGGACTTCTTGGAAGCGAACTTTTCTCACGGCCAACGATCTCAGAAGCAAACAATTTCCTGCATTTAGATAATTTCATGTTGTCTTTGTTTTCTCCTCAAAGTCATCCCTCTGCCCATTAATAAAGTTCCCCTTTTAATAGTTTCTTTTTTTAACACGTTCTTATTCCTTTTACCGTCGTGGTGTGCTTGAGATCGAAAATTTTCGCCAAGGAGTTTGGTCTCAACGCTATATGTGTGTGATCATTATTTTATTTCTGCCAAAAATGAAAACAATTTAAAGTTTTCTAAATATATTTTGATTGCTTTATTTTAGAGCGAAATCGTTCAATGCTGTTTCCAGATTACTTCGTCTTTGCTGACAAACGTTTGGTAAACCATATAATCGAAACTAAATACGTCAAAGACTTGGATCATTGTGAGCTTTTCTGCTACATGAACGACAACTGTGTCAGTGCTAACTTCAAAAAAGAGCCAGAGACTGGAGGAACGGCGTATGTTTGTGAATTAAATAACGCAACTCATCTTGAATATGATACTGACCTGTCGACTAATGCCGTTTTTCTCTATCGGGGTTCAAAGGTAAACTATAAACTATAAATCAAATTCAGCAACTTGACGCTTTTCAATGAATTGTGAAAAACAACCGAAATGTGCCAAAACTTCCGTTGTTTCATTCCTCTATCAATCATCCAAGATATCCATCTCTCTTCTTGTATTATTTTTTTCTTTTTTCTTTCCAGAACGTCTGCGGTAAAAACCTTCCGTGTCAAAATAATGCAACTTGTCAGTCCGGTTTCACAATCAAGGGATATCGATGCTTGTGCCCTCCTGGATTCGAAGGAGAACATTGCGAAGAAGGTTAATTACAGAATGTGCCCTTAAGAACAAAATATTTCATAGAGTAGTTAAACCACCCCAATATATATATCACGTTTGGTCGTCGAGCGCGTATCTTAAAGGAAGGCTTCCAAGGCTGATCTTTGACGACTGATATTCGGCTACAGTTTGGAATGGTGTCCAGAGAGAGAGATTCCGCTGTAATGGAAGTTTTGGTTTAGACGAAATTAAAAATTAATTTGTCACAATGATAACTAACTAAGGCTTTTTCACCTCATAAGAGTTAAAAAACGAATGTGATATCCAACTCGTGTAACCACTACCGTTGTAGAATTTTTCTTTTCTTTCGACTTTTTTAGATATTGATGAATGCCAAAAAAATACTCACGATTGTCACTTGAACGCTACTTGCCAAAACACAAATGGATCCTTTGTGTGCACCTGTTCATTTGGATTTAACGGAGATGGACGGAACTGCACAGGTATAAGCCTTTAGATTGTAATTGCCTCGTTATGACTTTGAGAAATGTTAGTTTGCTTGTGTTTGTTGTTTAATCTGTACGTTCCTTCTTGGTTGATTATCTTTGCCTGACATTCTTGACCAATTCCACTAAAACGCAAGAGAACAAAATGCTGAATATCTTCGCTGACCAGCTTTCTATTTAATAAAACATAGCGACCAACAACTCTCTAACGACAACTATCGCACTCAATGTGCAAAATAAGGAAGTTTACACATGTATCATACTTCAAGAATCGTGATTGAAAGCCTGTCATTTCTCAGATATTGACGAATGTGCAAGAAATCTTTCTTGTCATGTGAATGCTAACTGCACCAACACCATTGGATCACATGTATGTACATGCCACACTGGATACACTGGAGATGGACAAACTTGCTCAGGTGATATTAATAAGTTTCCTTCAATCCCAGCTATTCAAAGCGGGGAGTACTCTAAAACGTCCTTTGAACTCAAATTATGGTGCCGGAAGTAGTGAAACATTTATCCTAAAATGTAGTTCTACTCCATAATTCATCCTCATTAGAAATGATGGGTTATTTTGTTTTATCCTACATCTTTGGAGATTAGGTTTGCAGTATTTTCTACAGGTGTTCATTAATTATAGATTTACCGAAACATTTTTCATCCTATCATCGAACTCTGGGTTATGACGTGGTGCGCTTGATCCCCATCAGACATCGACGAGTGTTCAAAAATTAACATCTGTGATGAACACGCCTCTTGCAGTAATATCCAGGGCTCCTACAGTTGCGCCTGTAATCCTAAATAAAGTTATATAACAAGTTGTTTTTAATATTTCCTTAAATGTTCCCTGCCAATGTCTGTTTCGAAAGATACAATAAGAGGCAAGTCACGGTGCTTGTTTGAACAAAATGACGGGTCAAACCTGCCCCACTTATGCCTCTATTAGCACTTTTTCACGCGCCTCATTTCACGGTACAACAAGGGTTTTCAAAGTAAAAATTAACTTTAAAAAAGAAACTTAAAAGGTGGAAAGTCTCTAACGTAGGGATCAATTTGTTTTATAACATGTGGAAAAATCACGTAATTTTTATCGACATCGACTCGCCACGTTCCTCGAGTCGTTGTTTTTTAAAGTCATAATTTGCATCATCAAGTAATGCACGCTTTACGCACGCTTTTAGCTATACCTTTGTATCCCTTCCATGATTTGTTTTAATTTTCCCAATATAAAAGGGGAAATTTGTACAATGAAATTTAGCGAATAGAGGTCAACGTGCTCTTTAAAAAACTACGATTATCGTAACTCTTTGCTTGGTACATCTATTGAAAAACAATATCGTGTTCTCGGAATGCAAGCGCGCTTATTCGCCTGATTACGCGATTTCTGTGCGCAGCGCAGAATGCCCAGTACAATATTGGTAATCACCTTTAGACTGATAGCAAGATTCGTTCCGTTTTGTTTATTTCAATACTATTTAATGGAAGAATATTTGCCCGAAATCAAGAAGCAGGCAAAGAGAATAAAGAAAACCTAGGCAAATTTGAGTCTAGCCGACGAAGCTATGAGCAGAGTATGAAGTCGAAATTGAAGACTTTGCGGGAAAAAATCCAACAACACTTAATGAAAGACTACGAGTGACTTGAACGGAAGGAAAAAAGAAATGTTGTCAGTCACTGGAAAAGGCTCGAGCAAAGCTTTACTAACCAGCAAAACTTTACAAGTCACGATGAGCGATTCAACTTCTCAATCATGTTTTTGGGCTGTTAAATCGGGCAAGGTTTCGTCAATTTAAAAAACGGTAGATTACAGTGACACTCATTTGTAACTTTATCAAACTCCTCCTCTTGAAGTTCTTTCCTTAAGGTGTCGTATATTTCAAACGCTTTCGATATTTTCTGACAAATGTACGATAATTCAAAGCTGAAATTGAGAAATACCATCACCCGTATCTTTCGGTTTTTCTTTTCGTATTTCGTCTTACTTCCGCTTCCAGGAAAATTTTGAACGACCCTGTCTTTTAGAAATACGAATTTTCTCTATGCTTTAAGCAGCCATAATTTGAGAAAATCTTGACAAGCGACCCTGGATTGAGAACGGTCAACGCTTATGAACTTATCGCCAACGGTCATTTATTAAACTGACACAGATGATTGGCGATATCAAACAGATTGTAAAAACTATCGTAATATTATACGCGTGCTGTTATGAATTTTCTCAGGGCAGGATATCCTTTTAAAACACTGCAGTTTATAATGGTAATTGAACTGAGTGGAGGGCAATTTGGGCTGAAATCATATGCGTGATTTCAAAATCGAATGAGTGCACAGCGCGAGTTCGATTTTTTTTTTCACAAGTATGATTTCAAACCAAAATTGCACGACATGAGGTTCAATTACCACTTTATTAAATCCATTTTGAAATTGCCCAAATACAGGACTTGGTCAGTTCAAATATTTTATTGATGCAGTACTGAGCCGGTCTGAAATTAAGGCCACCCATTTTTTGAAGGAAAAAAGTAAGAGTTTTGGAAACAAAAGTTGCAAAAGTTGCCACAATTTGCCACTCTTTGTCTTTCATTTTTCTGTAAGCTGTGTAGCATTTTGAGCCTTGAAATCTGATTGGTTGTTTTGCTTTTAACGTTACTTCCTCATTGGCTGGAAAAAAAAATTGATTTAGAGCAAAAAATGGTGCGATTCGTGAATAAATCACATCAGTTAGAGCCAATCAGATTACAGGGACCATCAGTGATTTCAAAATGGGTGTTATAAATAAAGTGATTTTTTCCTTAATCTTTCTTATAAAGAAAAATATATAAAACATCGAATTAACTCAAATTCAACTTTTTAGCCGATCCGTGCTATAATTACAGAAACCTGAGCGATGCTGACAGAAAGAGCACTTACAACACACCCTACGGTAAAGAAAAATGTGACGACGATTCCTCATCCATAATATTCGGAAAATGGTATCGTTTCGTGGGAGATGCCGGAACAAAAATGCCAACCTGGTGCGTACCGCGGTGGAAATGTGGTGCGGCCTCCTCAGGCTGGCTAAAAAGTGGTCACCCTACATTGGCAGATGGTGAGGTTTCCTCTCAGGTCTGCTTCAACCGAGTTGGAGATTGTTGCAAGAAATCAATAAACATTAATGTGAAAGACTGCGGATCCTACTTTATATACAAACTACAAAAGCCACCTTCCTGTTATTTGCGCTACTGCAGCACAGACTGAATGCTATAAGCAAGTCATTCTGCGCAGCGAAAGGATTCACAAATCGATTTATTGGCACGCACATGTACATCAATGTACATGATAACAGGGACTTAAATAATTTCACATGAGAAGTTATGACTTAAGGTAGTCAGTAATAGTGACTGACATTCTATAACCTCGGTTGAATCATCATGAGAGTTGACTGAACAAGTGTTGTTTATCCGAGCATTGGAACAGACTCACCCCACCCTCTCTCCCAGCTAATTAATGTCAACAACTATGGGCATTAGTGAGCTTCCAAATAATCATAATATCATCTCTATCTATTCCTATCGATTTGCTTCACAAAGTAATTTTTAAGCACAACTTCTAGCATGGTATTTTGCTCATTAATAAACGTTTTGAACTCTTGATGTTTACTCAGGTCGTTAGAAACTAAAGCAGCCTAGGTGTGTTGTTGATAAAGACTGTAAATAATTTCTACAATTCTTAGCCACTGTGAAATCGATACTCAAACTTTCTGATGACATAGCATGGAAAACAAGAACATTTATTAGTTTATGTAATTATGATGTATTTCTACCACAATAGTTGTGTTGTAAGCTTCGAATTCCGGAATTTTTTGAAATATGTTGTGAAAGTATACAAGGATTCGATCAGTTAGGAGTAGTAGTTTCTTTAGTTGGAAAAGACAAAATATATCGGAAGCTCTACCAAAAGATAGCTCAGTACTGTGATATACTTCAAAGATTGTATATTTTGAAGAGATTGGAGGCCGTGGTGAGTCTTTGCTGTCAGTAGAGATCTAAGTTATAGTCTGTGGTGGGCTTAAGTGAGTTTTAAAGGACAATTATTGTACTGCCTATACGAGTTTCTACTGAGAAAGAATTAGAACAAGTTGTTTAATAAAATAGTTTCAAATTGTAGGAGTGTAGTATTCCTTAATCATACCTGAACAGGTGAATCTTGTAGGGGAGCTTGTTAGGTGAAATGGGTAAAATCTCAATGATGTCTACGTTAGTAGCTCTTATACAAGCCATTCTAACAAAAAAAACAAAAAACAAAACAACAAAACAACACCAGAAAGAGGTTCGAAATGACGACCAGTTAAAACCTAATTTAACAACCTTTTCAGGCTTATTTGTGTGTGTGTGTGATCAGTAACAGAGAAGGCGTGATCTGTCACTCTGGTTGCTTTAGTTGTAAGTGTCAGTGAGCCTAAGAAAAATAGCACGTCTAAGTAATCAGAGGTTTGCATGTCTTTGCTGCACTTTAAAAAATCTACGTTGACTTTCCTGAGGCCAAACCCTCTGGTCGCCTTCTATTTAAATTCTCTACATGTAATCAGTTTAAGGTTACATGAGACAATGGATTATCCCTCTCTGGATGTCAGTAAACAAAACCGCTTCCACTTTATCTTTTTGTTGTTGTTAAAGCTACTTTCGTTCGTGTTTTTGAAGCGCAAAGCTCATCATATTCCTTCGGCTGAACAATCGATAATCTTCGGAGGGGTTTCCGAACTTTAGGAGGTAAGAGGTTGATTTATTGAGATATCTCTCTCCTTTAGTGAGACATCAACCGACACCTTTTAAATATGTTAATATTATATAGCTTTGATCGGGTAATAATCTCCACTTTTTAAATGAGCTTTCCTCTTAAATTTATCAAGACGAATTTCTGAGAGAAACAGGTTCGTTAAAGGGAAGTGGGAGTTTGAATTCTTTGTTTATTATTTTTTTATTCATTGTTTCCTACTTGCATTTAAGATTGGCAGTAAGTCTCCTTCCCCCTTCAC